TTCATTAGCAGAGACAGTGTAAAAGAGGCGTGTGTACACACACACACATCGTGCAATAAGACGCAACACATCAATACCTAACTGCATCCAATGCACAAACAGTTCAATGTGATGATAATAAGAGAGACAAATCATACTGATACTCTTTAACATAGAACATAAATGGAGAGGCTGACATTAAGTGAGCTAATATCACACAAAAAGGACATGCTAATACAAAGAACAGGTGCAGTTTAACACTTGCTAAGGAAGTATAGGGAATAGTCCCAGGCATTAAATAGAAGCAACCCTCAACACTAAAGTACACGTAGATAAATATAAGCCATAGAGTTGTGATAAGGTGGTCAAGTCTAAAATAATTCATTTTTAGTGAGTGAGACAATAACAGTATTGTCTGTTAACATACAAAGTGACATTTCAGAGAGAAAGATGAACATACAAAGTGGTATAGATTAATACATTATAAAGTGTATAGGTATTAAGTGGAATGATTTAAGGTACACTCAAACGCTTTCTTGTCTTCCTTGCATTTTTATCATGCACTTCGTAAATAGAAAACTTAACAAAGCACATTCTTGTTAAAAACATGTCTCACCTGTATGTGGTCACTAGGCAACGAGCCCCGCCTGTTTTGATGAAGCTGATAAACGTACTCTAAGTCACCAGCCGACATGTCATCAAAATTTAACTTTGAGCCTGACTTTAAACCTAGAGAGAGGGAGAGAGAAAGAGAGAGAGGGAGAGAGAGAGAGAGAGAGAGAGAGAGAGAGAGAGAGAGAGAGAGAGAGAGAGAGAGAGAGAGAGAGACATAAAAGTTGTTTATCACTATGTACGTACATGTATATATATTCTAATTAAATTAGGTGCAATTACACACACAAAATACTCTACGACAAAGGAAATACAGACACACACAGCACAAGGGTTAAGCAATAATAAACAATACGTATATGGCGGCTACTACTATGACATGCACAAAACTTTGTACATGTACATGTACACTTAACGTACATGATGAGTTCATCTATGATGAAATGTGTCCTCATGATTATTGAAAAAGAATGTACATGTACATGTGTATGTTCACAGTTAATAATAGTATCATGAATGCATTTGCAGTATACATTTGTTTCACATTATGTATCTCTGTGTATCCTCTTTCCCCCTCTCTCTCTCTGTTACATATGTAGCCTATTCCTTACCTGCTAATGGACCTCCATTAACCATTTCAACGATAGAGGGACGTCTGCCTTCGCTGAACGAGGTCCTACCTAGAGGGGTGTGTGTCGCTGCTGAAGAAAGGAAGAAAAAAAACAGACGTAATTTTTAAACTCAACGTCCATTTAGATAAAACCTACATGTGCAACTGCTTCCAGTAATAGGGATGTCTAGGCCAGAATCTTTCTCAATGCCAAATCCATTATTATTGTTAGCAGCACCGTTTAGATGTAGAGCTAAGAGTCTAGGGGGTCTAACAGTAATGGGGCTACCCTCATCTTCGTGTGTGCTACCGCCGGAGGAGTTGGGGTAGGTACTGTCAGAGCATAGCCCAAGACCCAAGTCTTCGTCAGTCTCTTCGCTATGACTCTCCTTGTTATAAACGGTCGGTCTCCTTTCACTGGCAGGAGATAGAGACGGGCGAAGATCTCCTAGCGTCACTGACATTACAAGAAGAGTAATAGGAGAAGGAGATGTTTTGTAAACAGAGAAAGAAGAGACAGAGAGAGGAAGATAGTGCAGGCCAAGAATGGGAGGGAAGATTGACCACTTGATACACGCCCACGTGGAATAATTAAAAATCAAAGCACGTGGTTTCCGTATACTCCCGTTTATTTATTTAAATATTTTAAATTTTTTATTATAATAATAATTTTTTCATTTTTATTTAATTTATTCATTTTTATTTATTATTTACAATTTTATTTATTTTTATCTATTTTTATTTTTAAAGTTTATTTATTATTTTTTTATCTTTTTTTATTTTTATTTTTTATTTATTTTTTATTAAACTTTTAGGCTGCGGGCGCATTTTTTTGACTGAAATAAATAAATCAATCCAGCTCATTAATTAATTTTTTATGTTTTAATTTTTAATCTATTTAATTTATTATTTTTTGTTATTTTCTTAACTTTTTATATTATTTATTATTTTTTAAAATTTTTTAAATTGTTAATATTTCTTATTTTTTAATTTTATTTTTTATATTTATTTTATCTATTTTTATATTTTTTATTTTGATTAAAAAAATTTTTTTTTGATTTCATATTTATTTTTGTTTTATTTTTATTTATTAAAAAAAACATTAAAGGGGCAAGCCTGAGAAAGCTATAGATTATGTGCTGTGATGTTACATGTATCAGAAAGCAAAGCACTTTTGCATGTCAAAATACAGTACAGTAGGCTTCATGTACCACCAAGTCATCTTAGCTGCTTAAATTGACATGCATATCTATGACAAAATAATTATTAATTTAACAATTTTTTATAATTTTAAATTTCTCTTCTTCATTAAAAGAGCAGATGGTACACAAATTGAAAGCATAATTTAATTAATATTATTATAATTGAAATAAGTTCAGACGGTTTCCTGAACTGGCGGCTCATAGCTTCTCTCCACTTTGGTCCCACTGGACGTGGTCACAACAGTGCCACCCTCACCATGGAGGTCCCTCAACTTCCCAACTAGTAAGGAGAAAAAAATGTATAAAATTTAATGCGTTGGTTTGTAATTTTTTTGCTTACTGTCAAATTTTGGTTTCTTCAATACTTTCACTTTCCTTATAAGGACGTCATGAAGCGGGAATATCGCCTGACACTTTTTCTCAATGTCGCGACCAATGCTATCTGGAATACTAAGAAAAAATAAAACAAAAATCATTAAGCTCTTTTCTTGTTGTAAGATCTTTAATAACTCTCTTACAGTTTAGTCACAACTTCTTTGAGGTCCACTCCGCTAATCTCAGCTTTCATCATCTCTACCATCCTCTTCCTGATCTCTCTACATTGAGATGCTTTGGCATACGCAGTCTTCTTGATCTGGTTCGGTTGCTTGCGAGTGAATCCGATACAGAATACTCTTAAGAGGTAGCCGTCGGTCGTCTTAGCATCAACAATTGCTTCAATAAGAGTCTAGGGATATTGAGGAATTATACATTAAGGGAAAGCAATTGAGAAACTTTATAGAACAAAAATTATTAGAAGAGAACAGTCAGTAAAATTGACTTTATTTGCAAATGCACTGCCCCGCCATACATGGCTTAATAAAGCAATATTATTAAGTTTTAAATTAGTAGAAATCCGGTACTACTTAAAGAAAATACGTCTATGTATTGCTGTTACATTTACGCTGTAATGTGGCCTTTGGCAAAATCTTCATAAAACTCACCTGCCATTTCTTCACTAATGATTTCAACTTATCAGTAGTGAGTGTCATCCCATGGAAATTGGTGAGGACATTCTTTCCACTGATGTCTTCAGCAATCAGACGAAACTTGCGAAAGGCGACCTCATCGTTTTGTAGATCTGCCAATGAGACCTCAAAAACTCTACCCTTTAAACCATCACTAGCAAGTTCTAAATTAAAAAAAAACATATATATGTACTTGACAATAAAATTACGTACTTTTTCCTTGTGTTCTAGTAACTAGAGTCTTGCCTATATTTCTATTAGTGAATAAAGTTGGTGCCTTGACATCATACCACTCCTTCTTGGTGTATGGATCGATACTAAAGTGAATAATGACGATCACATTTATACAATATCTCTCTCAATCCATCTAGCAATAATACTCAAAATATAAATATATGCTTCATCGTCCTCCTTCATTATCATATTGAACTGCTGTCGTGCTACCATTGCACTTACATTTTCTTCTTGGCTCCTTTCTTTCCCTTAGTCAACCTCTTGTTCTTGCCTACCGCCATTTTATTCAGAGAAAGAACACGTGGGAAGAGAGCCGAGCATGCGCACATTATAACCTTAATAACTATTAATATCATACGTTTAGGCAACGTGAAAACACGTGGTCATGGAAACTCCACCCTTTTGAAAGATGACTGATTTTGGTGGAACTTTTTCTCGAGCTGTATCACTTTTTGTGGCTGGAAAGACTGACAATGAGAAGCTAGCCTCCTTGCTAATAGTAAATAGAAAAAATTGAGTGTTTTGAAATGACTAGTTATTTTAATTTATCAAAAAATAATTCTCTAATTTTTCTTCTTTTTATTAATAGATAGCAAAGTTGCTTAAGGAACAAGAGACTGACCAGTTGACACGGAGAAAGATATTTGAGAAAATCGGATTTGATTTTATAAATCGCTTACTCATTACTGGTAAGAAGGGGAACGGGAATGGAACTATAGGAATCAAATATACTATTCTTTATAGAATCTTCAGATTCTGAAGCTTTAGCTTCAGTTGCCGTGGCCATTTTGTCATCTTATTGTTCCGATCCTGAACTAGTGAGTTGACATACAGTATTACGGTAAGCATAATGTACATATATTACATCACAGGCTCTTCATCCTCAAATCACATCGAAACTTCCTTATTTTAATAAATTCATATCATCCAAGTAAGAGAAAAAAATTGTAAATTAGCTAATTATTTATTCATTGATTTAGCGTATGTCCTGTGGGTGTGGTCAATGATTCGCTATATTGCATTGAAGTTTTTGTGTCTGTTGATAAAGGACGGCAGTATCTTTGGAGGTATAATACACTGCTCTCACTCATTCAATGCTTTATCAATTACGAATCATGTAAGGAAAAATTTTAACTGCATGGTTACTCTCATTAAAATTTTACTCATTTTTCATCTTATTTTTTACTTGTTAGATCGTGAAGTGTCAAAACGTATCATTATATCTCTCTTGGCTGATTTGGATCAAGTTAAGTCTAACACTGATTTGATACTGGAATCAGTTCAATACCTAACTAATGAGATCAAGTTAAGACAGTGTGAGCTGAAGTTTGAACTGTGTCAGCTTTTACTTGATATGAATCAATGGATTGGAGAAGTGAGAGAGAAGAGGAGAGAGACAGATTAGAAGAATCATACTATTATTTATTATTTATTTTATGCAGTATTTAACTCACAACAAGTGGTTAGTAGACATTGGATCTGCTCTTAGCGACATACTTCACAGTAGATTAGGTAACAGCTGCAAAATAATTAAAACCTAATTCATGATTAATTTATTATAATTTATTATTAATTTTTAGATGTTGTTCATCGTCATGTTGGCCTAATGTTACTATGCTCTCTGTGCCAGATGCATGGCTGCCACTGGTTACTTGAAGTACCACCTAAAGAAGGAAAGAGTAAAAGGTAGTTTTTAAATTTTTTTTTAGTATTAGTCTATAGCTCATGGCCTCTTTTCCACTTCATTTAGTTCCTTTCTTTTACTGGCAGTACATCTAGTCGGCATAGTACGTTATAAATAATTTATTTCCTACATGATATTTAAACTATTTATAGGAGATTAATATTTTACTGGAGACAGACTCCATTTCTCCTCAAGCGAGTCCTACCTCGTGCTTTGTGCCTTCACTCTCTCTTCTCATATCTTGTTTCTCTTTTATTGAGCAAAGTATTGTATTTGTAGCTGACTCCAGTGAAGAGGAGGAGGAGGAGCAAAAGGGACAAGAAGGAGTGAGGAATCTTCCTTCAGAAGAGGATCTCTTACAACTGCATTCAGCTTTACTAGAATCCATGACCAATATTGTCAAACTCCTTCAGAGAATTACAAAAGATTTTTTTCAGAATCATGAAACATGTACTACAGAACAAAACCCGTTTCTAATACCAGCCATACGAGTTTTTGGTGCTTGGCTGGCCGAAGATTCTCTCTCACTTATGTCTGAAGTATCTCTGCTCATCCCTTTTCTTATTCAGTATTGTGATCATGATAAAGGTGGAGGAGTTGACATTGTCAAGTTCTTGGTTCCAGGTTTTATGAATTTGATTCATCAAAGTGATGTTCTTTCCATTGATGAAAAGCTTATTGGAGTTTTATTGAAATATGCCACATCCCTTTTGGCAAGGTAAAATCAAAATATGTTTTAAGCATCTCTGCCTTTCCATTACTAATTATCTACTAACAATAATGCTAAAAATGTACTAACAAGTAATAATACACTGGAATGTACTGATTGTTCTTATAATATTTCTATTTCTAGGCTAGATGATGTTACTGTACAATCACAAGTCAGTGAAGCATATTAATATATGCATGATTTACATTAATTAATTGTATTTAATTTAATTTATCGATTGGTTTTTGATGGCAACCACTACATGTTTTTGCTTGACTATAGACGGATGCAATTAAAAAGCTGTCAAAACTTCTTGTTTTTACTGGACTCTTGTTAGCCGTTCATTAATTCGTTTACAAATTTGAATAGAACCAATTTGAACATGATAATGTCCTAATAATCAAATGAGCTAGAATAGCTGTATAATCATAATTGTAATTAAAGATAAGAGTGTAATAGACCAGGTAGGATATACATATAGAGAGAGGGAGAGAGAGAGGGAGGGAGAGAGAGAGAGAGGGAGGGAGAAAGAGAGAGAGGGAGAGAGAGAGAGGAAGGTGGAGAGTGTGTTGGTGCATGAACATATGTTTGTCACTGTATATGGTAATGGGAACAACAGTGATTTGTATTTATATGTACCATTACATAATGCGTAGGGGTACATGTACATGTACAAGTATACATGTATGTACAATGAATCTTTTAATATATTTTGTCATTATTTTGTTTATTTATATTCTAATTTCTTTATTCTTTCCCTATCATCTCTCTCTAGTTGCAGATGTGTGTATCGTTAATGATAAGTATCTGTGAGAAAGTGGAAGAGAAGAAGAAGGAACTGACTAGTCCTTTGTGGACAGAGTGGCTGAGAATCCTTTCACAATTAATAAAGAGCACTTTTGTTAAAGGTAGAGAGAGAGAGAGAAAGAGGGAGAGAGGGAGGGGAGAAAATAGGTATACTCATGTAGTATATGAATGACTGATTTTATTTGCTGTAACATTGTGACTGTGTGAGACTAGAGTGTGAGAAAGATGACAAGTTTTGTAGTAACAGTCCAACAGTGGGGCTATTTGTAATTTAGTCTCAATTGATTAATATAATTAAATTATTATATTATCATGCCTTTTAGATTTTATTACTCAACTGATAGTTCTGTATCTCTTTATATTGAAACAAACCACAAAGCAAGGTAATGATAAAAAATTGAACTGATATTATAATAAAATGAAGGCATGTGAATGGAATATGAGAGTATGACAGTAATATGAATGCTAAAATGTAAAAAATACAACAATAATGATATTATTATACACAATGACACATGAAGACCAGTGATGATACAATGAACTATAATGAATTGTCTAAGTGAAGGAATGGTGGACGTACATGTACATGTATGCTGTTGTTTGTCCTGTTGAAAATGTGGAGGAGAGAAAGACAAGAAGTGTAGCGAGAAGCTGACTGCCATATTATTCTCATTGCATGACATATCATATGTTGTAATTGACTGTCTTTGGTTATGGAATCAGAGTTCAAATGTATGCTTGCATGATGCGCATGTGTATGTGTGTAAGAAGAATAAATACATTATATCACAATTGTAGTGTTGTATGCTTAGCTTTGTTTACTCTTCGCCACCGAAACACTCTTCCACTATTTCTATGCATTTCTCTTCACCAGTGTCCCTCTCCTTGTACCATCGTTCAACCACGTTTGCGTACACATCAGTGTCACCGGGCGACGTTAGTATCAAACACCTTGATTCCGATGCTATGATTTGATTTAGCACGCTCACATATCCATCGTGCTTGATACTAGCGAATTGTAGCAGGACTTTCTTCCTCCAAGATGAAGGTGTGATCTTGCTCCCATACAGCGCCCTAAAGAACATCTTAAATGATATTTTTCCTTCGACCTCCTTGCTTTTGTGGCCGCTCATCACTAGGTAAGGGCTCGAAGCATTTTTATTTTTTATCGACGAATGGAACCGAGTTAAAATACGCTCATAGCAGGCATCAATGCCCAAGGAGGATTGAACGTCTTGTGTGAGTATGATTGCCGTTCTGGCCCCGCCTACTTTATTAGTGTAACTACTTGCATCATTCATTATGCTTTTACTCGGTCGTATTTTATGTACTAGTCTCCCGATATTTTCACACGTATGGGCGGGGTCACTAGCAGGCATTGAAGGACTGATATCCAAATTTCGAAATAGTACCACGGTTTTTTTGTCCAGTTGATGGGTTCCTGACTGCTTTTGAAGGAATTCGACAAAGTCTTCGACCGTATTGAGCATGTCTTTGATGGAATAAGCCAAACTCCCGAGACAGATTTCTTGAGTAACGCTAAGTCCGAAATTCAAGTGTAGGTCGGACCTGTAGGCAGAAGAGTCGTTCATGCAGCCTGGTGTGCTATCCATAGCATTTTTCTGATAGTTATAGACCTCCTTTACGTCCACTACTAGTACTTCTCTTACTTCCTCCACTTCCACTTCTCCGATTCCCACGAATGGTGTCAGTGTCCCACGTCTCTCATAGAGGTTGTCCCAAGAGCTTGGGTCGTACACTGTATCCAGCGAGAGGGAGTTGGGGTCATTTGGTTGTCTTGGGAATGCAGTGGTAAGCGAGTTGATCGATATGGCTGGTTCCACAAGGTCTAGTTGTAGCCTCTTTGCCCAGCACTGGAGGATGAGGAGATGAGAGAGGGAGGAGGAGAGAGAAGGTGAGGACAGGGATTGTATTATGACATAGCCCCGTGGCTCTCTTTTTACCGGAGGAGAAGGCAGCTGGTCAAGACTGCTATGAAGTGAGAGCTTCTTTATCTTCTCTACTTCTAATGCTGGGGAAACTGTTTCTTTTAGTCTCCTCTTATTGAAAGAGTCTCTCTCTTTCTTATGAGATGATACAAGTCTTTCTTCTTCTCTTTTCTCTCCATCTAGCCCTGTCTTTATTGTATTGACACTGCTACTCAGTAAAAGAAGGACTAGAGAGAAGAGCAGGAGTAATGTTACCAGTAGCAGTGTGCTTGGAAAGATTCTACAGTGGAGAGAATGCATTAGTAGCAGCAATATAGTAAAAGATTGCACTGTCAAGAATGATAAACTAGATTTAGGATAAGCAGTAGCAAGCAGAGCTATATACTGGTAATTATAAGTAGATCAAAGAGCTGAAATGGCTCTTGTCCAAGCATCTACTACTTATATGCTTGATGATAGTATTATTATTATTATTATCTAACTGCTAATAATTGTTTATTGTGGCTTAATGCAAATCATTGTTACCAGCTGGTACAGGCTTGTTCTTAAGTTTATCATAGTTTGCTGCTGTCACCAAATTAAAGAACACAGTGCGTGTGGCTGTATCAGCAAGTGAGGGGCTCAAGTTATGACTTTCACATTCAACATGATGGCTTACCTTTTGAACCTTCTGAGTTCCACCATCTTCTTGAAAGAGACAGGAGCCAGAGAAGATATTAAGTATTCACACTGTACTCTCCCCTCTCTTCTCTCTCCCTTTATGTGGCTTCAGTCGTTGTTGCCACATGCACTTCTAAGGAATCACGGAATGCAAATACTTCATATATATTATCTTTCCTGTTTCTAGACTAATGAATATCATTAATATAAGTGAGACGACCCACGAGAGCTTGAGCATGTCTCATGCATTTATAAGGAGCCAGGATTTGACAAGGAGCATCAATCAACTGATGTGAATATTACTAATCCTTTGTATAAAATTTTTGAAAGGGCAACTGGTGGCCCTGGCAAATTAAATTCCAGTATTGAATAGAAACTATATATACCTAATGACGTGCATTTCGAGCATGTTTACATCTGTTCCATGCATGCCTGCTCTAGGAGCTCCGGTATTACTATACAAGAATGCAGGACATCTGTTGTGTAGTAATTATAGCTAATAGCTATTAGGCGTGTGCACATACCTGCTAGATTGCATGAGTATATATTAGTACAAATGCATTTATGAAAGTAATGGCCAGTTTATAGTGATTATTCTCTAGGAATAGCAATAGTAGAAATAATGGGGCTATTATAGTCTAGTAGTAATAGTAGTAGTATAGCTGATTTATACTGTGTACATGTACATACACTGTGACTCTTCCTTTTAAAAATTACTATTTATTTTATAGTTGCATGATAGTATGTGACTTCAAAAGCTCCACAGAATCACATTTACTGTTTGTTGGAGCACTGCTGGAGCATCTGTTTACGTGTCGCATAGGATTTCACATGTTTAAGGTTTCTGGAGTAGATTGTAATTGCTCGTTGAAGCAAGTTCTTGTATTGGTGTGAGAATGATGATTACATAAACCACAACAAAGTACTTCACTAATTGTGGCTCAATTGAGGAATGATAAACAGGATTGGTCTCAACTTTGATACTAGAATCTTGACTTTATTTATTCTCTCTCGATCTCTCACACACATATTGCCACCCTCTTTCTCTCTCATTTTGTTGATGGTTGTTCTTGTAATGTGTTTAGCTAACTGTTGTGATATTTTACTGTATTAGTGAAATAGAAAGCAGGTCTATAGTTATGCATGAATATTCACGTGTACATACATATATACTTGTGTGCCTTTGTATGCTTGTTCTGGTTGGTGGTTGTTATCAAACAGATTAAACTTCATACAAACTTCAAACTTTTTTAATTCATTGTATCTCAGCCTTTGATGTGTGTTGCACAGGAACAGAGAAATTGCTTCATTACAATAAATACATAAATGATACCGTGCATTATTAATATTATTATTATTATGAGATGACCGGATGGCATCAAAGGCTTGGAAAGTGTCCCTTCTGTTGTGGCTTTATTGTTGGCAACATCAGTACACACGCACACACATTTCTTTCTCTTAACCTCATTTATGAACTATTGGATGTGAAGACAATAGTCTTTGTAGTAGTAATTAATGGGTTGGTTATGTGTGTCACAGGAGTCTCTTATTTTAAATAATACTTCTCTCTCTCTCTCTCTCTCTTTTCTCATTTCCCATTAGATTTGTATATTGGTGACATCAAAAGTTGCATCGACATTCTTATGAAATTGTCTTGTAATTATCTAACGCTTGAGACCAACAGCAGCTGTAGTAACATGACTCAAGACATTACCACAAAAGAGGAGAGGATGAGATCAAGTGACAGTAAAGAGAGGATTGACCTTGTGGAACGAGCTTCCTCTCGGAATGTAGATTGTCATATATTGCAGCTGGGATTAAAGCGTATGTATTTTCAAAATAGTCTGTACTTATTGTTTCTTGCTAATTGCATTTTTTCAAGTCATGGCCATCAGCCAATTTTTGAGAAATTCCCTGTACTATAGCCCATGGTTTTTTCTGAAAAATGGCTCTGAAATCACCTCCAATTTTTATTGCATTTTCTGATACATATAGATGTCCTTATGCTATGTAGAAAGTTTGAGCCAATTCTGACTTTAAATTTTTGAGTTATGACCATTTTTAAAAATCGGCTAATTTCTGAAAAATTTCCTGTACTATAGCCCATGGTTTTTTCTAAAAAATGGCTCCAAAATTACCCCCCCATTTTTATTACATTTTTTGATACATATTGACGTCCTTATGCTATGTAGAAAGTTTGAGCCAATTCCGACTTAAAATTTTTGAGTTATGACCATTTTCAAAAATTAGCCAATTTCTGAAAAATTCCCTGTACTATAGCCCATGATTTTTTCCCAAAAATGGCTCCGAAATCACACCCAATTTTTATTACATCTTTTGATACATATTGACATCCTTATGCTATGTAGAAAGTTTGAGCCAATTCCGACTTAAAATTTTAAAGCTATGACCATTTTCAAAAATCGGCCAATTTCTGAAAAATTCCCTGTACTATATATAGGGTAATATAGCCCATGATTTTTTCCCAAAAATGGCTCCGAAATCACACCCAATTTTTATTACATTTTCTGATACATATTGACATCCTTATGCTATGTAAAAAGTTTGAATCGATTCCGACTTGAAATTTCCGAGTTATGACCATTTTAAAAGATAACTTCTTCTTTGTGTCCCACAGAGCTATCAGTACTAGTATCAGTAAATCATGAGATAAAATCTTTAGTTACTGGATGTCCTTCCTTACCATCATTACAACAATTATACAACAATCTCTCAGAAGCGAGAGAAGAGGGTAAGACTACTTTGTGTATAGATACATAGCCATTTTGATTATAAAGTCTTTTATGTGAATGTAGTTGATCAGATGGGAGAGTGGCAGCTTCATGAAGACAATGATCAATTTGTATCAAGTGTAAATATATTATTAAGAAATTGTAAAAGATAACTGAATAATAATGAATGATATAAATGAAAGAGATTATATGAATATGAGTAATTAAGATTAGCTTAAATTTGAAAAAAAGAAACTTCAATCATCAACTTTTTGTTCAATTTTTTCTCTTGCTATGCATTCATTGCTCGTTTTCATAGGTTTGGCTTGTAATGGGTGTAGCCTCCATTATTATCCGATTCTGATCGTATGATAGAAATTGTCTGAGAACTCCTGTTAATATAAACTCTGCGTTATAGAGCTGAATAGAATAAGGATGAGAAATGAACCTATAAAATTATTTAAAAAGCATGTCAAAATTAGCCCTTTAGCCATCAAAATTTTGATGCTTATGCGAACAAAATTTTTGTTGTTGACTTGCTTTGTACAATGGGGGATATCTTCAGGGCATGTGATGACAATCAGGTTGTGATTTGGCGGGAGATTATGCAAGTCTTTACCAAAGCGCCTGTTTAACTTGACTTCTGTCAGTAACTGTAGAAAAGAGAGGGAGAGAGTGAGAGAGAGAGAGAGGGAGAGAGAGAGAGAGGGAGAGAGAGAGAGAGAGAGAGGGAGAGAGAGAGAAAGAGAGAGAGAGAGAGAGAGAGGGAGAGAGAGAGAGAGAGAGAGAGTATAGGCTTCTCAATCTGATTAAGATGTTTTTATAAGTATAGTAATAATAATAATAATCCCCTAACAATGTGCACAACTTAATTATCCAAATAATCATTTTTGACTTAACATAGCAAGTACGCATACATGTACATGTATATGTACATGCATGTATAGTACATCTACATGTATTATGCATGTGTACTATAAATGTACATGTACGATGGGTGTAGCTACAAATGTTTTTATTAGTCGTTAATTGCAACATTAATGTCATTGGCTTCTTTTGATATCTGGAACATTCTCCCATTTTTAAAGTATAAAAATCAAAAAAAAAACAAACACTTGAATTCTTACTTCTCCTCCAGCAGACTCCACTATGCTTTGCAAGCTTTGAAAAGAAGGGACTACGTTTTGTGTGCTGTAAAAACAAAGTCCACTCAAAAGCTTCTTCTCTTTAGCTCTCCCCAGGGAGAGCGATATTGTCATATCGTAGAACTCTTCTCCGTCTTCGTCTCTCAGCAAATAAGGAGTAGCGTCTGTTCGTGTGACTAAAGGTCATGTGATTATGTACTGTACTGTACCTAGCAGGTAGCCTTTCTTTAGTGAGTCGTCAAGCCATTTTGTGGTCACTATGAATTGCGAAGTTGAAATGGCACACAGGAACTTGACCGTCCTAGCAATCTTAATGAAGAAAGAACTAATGTTAGTGAATATTTGTGTGTGTGTGTGTGTGTGTGATGTAGATTTGTGTATAAATTTGTGTGTAAGTGTTGGTTTTTGTCTTACTCTAGGAGCAACAAGATGTGAGCATTCGTTACAATCGTTAACAACTGTCCCTCCTAGCTTTGTGACATACTGTGAAAAGAAAATATAATAAAAATTGTAAGCTAAATTATTTAATAATAATAACTTACTTGTTTGTATTTTCTTGTTAATACAACGCTGAGTCCGGTGAACAGGACAGACGGGGGTTGTTCCCCTCTCCCTCGTTTACATATCAATTCGATCGGTTCTCTCTCTTCGCTAACGATCAAACAAGTGTTCCTCTCTCCTTCTCTCCCCTCTCCCTCTCCCTCTGTTTCTTCTCCAGTGTTACTGAAGCATTTTCCAGTGTCCAGTAATCCTCCTTGTTTAGTCTTATACTCAGCAATGAATGACCTCCAAGGCTCTGTAATAAAGTACATGTATTATTATTATTATTATTATTATTATTATTATTATTATTATTATTATTATTATTATTTCATAGATGTACAAATTATAACATTATTATTGTCGTTTTCGCCAAGCTTACTCAAGATCTCCATTGCTTCCTGGCTGGTTGGTTGGAATTCATTTTCAAGACCTAATGCTGTATGTCTTTCTTCAATAGCAGGTAAGGCTCCACCTACAGTACATGTAGTGATTAAGTATCATGTGAGTATGATACTTGATCAATTCACTCACTTTGCATTATATCAGCTACAAAGGTAGAATTTACGACTTTGATATTCCATTGAAGAGCCTTCTCATACTTTCGACCTTCTGCCCTACAAGTTCAATTTAATAAACATTCTCTTTTACATAGAAAGTTTGAGGTTAAAACATGTAGTATGTTGTTCCATTCTTAGGACTTACTTTTTTGATATTAAGTGAGTAGTGGAGTGACTGAGGTGACTTGTGTAGTTTATGCCTGACAAGTTGATCATATCTCTGACAATCTCCCTCTCCTTCCCAGTGTAATTGGTGAGGGTCATATTCTAAGAGAGAGAGTGAGAGAGAGAGAGAGAGAGGGAGAGAGAGAGAGGGAGAGAGAGAGAGGGAGGGGGAGAGAGAGAGAGGGAGAGAGGGAAGGAGAAAGAGTTATGTATTATAATAATTATAGGTCATTTCTCTGTCTCTATTACCATTTTGTCACAGTATGGAGGTGGTTTTTGATATGCTAGTGGAAAGTGAAGAGGATCTGATGGTGGAAACATTCTCTGGAGAGAAAGGACATCATTTAGCCAGTGAGCACTTGAAATACACTTGCCATCTGATAATGCCTAAGAGAGGGAGAGGTATAAAAAACACCTGAATGTGAAGCTAACAGAATATAGAACTAAATGCCTGTCCCAATTAGAAGCCGAGGACTATACGTGCATTAAGAAAATAGAAGCCTATTTCAAGTATAGAACAAACAGAAGACTTGTGTACAAATTAAAGATAAGAAATATATTATAACCTTGGCTTCTATTTAAAGATCTACATGTAGATTAGTCTGAATACATACAGTGTATACACATAGCTGATGCATCAATTTATATTATTCTACTTACTTGAGTGTACGTTTGACTATTCTTGTTCTTAGACAATAAATGTGTGCATTCTTTTTCGTCATAATCCAACAGCAGTCTACCACCATGAGCTGCAATGACCTGAAGAGACACATGCAAAGGTATATATTACATACAAGAAATACATACTAGATACATGTACTTTATTTTACAAGTACCTACATGTACATATTACATACTAAGTACCTATATACTAGGTACATGTACATTTACTTTATTTTACGAGTAAAGTACCTCTTCCCATTCTTTTATTGTCTCCTGTCCCATTAGCAAAGGATAGTCTATTATACCAAACACCATTCCTTCAAGGAGTCTCTTTTCTTTTCCCTCTCTCCCCTCCTCTCCCTCTCTCGTCCTCTGCAGTCCCTGAGGTGGTGGGGTAGGCTGTGGAGTTGGGGACACTCCCTCAGATAGGACTGGGCTAGCCCTGTAAATCGGTTTCCTCAGTGAGAGGTGGTCCCTGGATGGGTGTGGCTCCTCTATAATGCTCTCGGCCAGTGAGTCTATCCTTTTCATTGTTAATGGTACCTCGTTGGGTCGAGGTTCCATGCCAGCAGGGTCCGAGCAAGTTCCATTTTTTTGTTTCTTATGATAACTCTCTTCTTCGTTGTTTGCTTCTCTCGATCTCTTTCTTCCTTCCTCCCCCTCTCTCCCTCCTTTCCTCTTTGCTCCGCCAACAGTTTCTTTATCTTGTATCAATATCTCAACAGATGAAACTGATAGGTTACGACCGGCCGTCTTAGCACCCAGTGGCGGGTACTTTTCTTCGGATTGAACTTCTCCCTTTTTTATACTATCCACTAGCCATGCGGGCGTGACTGCTTTAATATCATGCTTTAAAGCTTCTTCGTATTTCTTTCCCGAGGCTTTGATGGCCAGGAGATGAGTGACATTCCTGTCAAGCTGCCGTTGATACTTGCCTCCGTAATAGTGTATCATTACCCAGAGCTTCTCAAGATCTGACGATGAAACCTAACGAGAGAGTGAGATATACGTGTACATGTACATGTACATGTACTTGTGCTTTTGTAATTCCTTTTCACTTACTTGTGTGGGACAGAGGACTAGCCCGCTTAGTAATTTACTAGTAGACATGTCGAATAATGAAGTACTGGAAAACAATTAAGGAATAATAATAACAATAATAATAATAATAATAATAATAATAATAATAATAAAAATAATAATAATAATAATAATAATAATAATTTGCATTTGCAATGAACATACTATGCATTTAATGTACATGTACATCTACATCATAAATATAACTTAAATTTAACAAAAATACATGCCCCCATTCCCTCTAGTATAAAAGCGTATTATTATCTAAAAGTTGTGTGCAGTTATAGATACGGTAGGAGGGTCCCTTCCTTGTCTGATAATAAAACCCAATTCGACTATCAAAAAATAAAAATATTGAATAATACAATATGCACACTAGTCTCTCACGTTAACAATGACGGCTTGGCAATCTTTTTCTTCTAAAATTCTCTGCGAGTCATTAAATGGGTCTTCAGTGATGATGTGAGTGACCACACTGCTTAAGAAATACTCTCTCATTCCACCTCCTCTCTTGAAGGCTTGGAGCACCTACAATAATAGAAAAGTTTGAAAAGATTTTTATTCTTCCTTGCCTCGCTCTTGTTCGTCATATTCTCGTCTTTCAAGAAGAAGCAAACCGAATCGAAAAGATTTTCATTCATAGTGTCGGAGGCCATTTTGTTTTAAAGTAAAGGGTTAATAAAAGCGAGCCACGCCTAACGAGCCACCTACGCAAAAAGGGGGCGTTGTGTAATTTGATTTGCATTCTTTTTGTGCAGCAACTTTCAAAGACTTGGCATGCAAGACTAAGCGTTCAAGGATGCATGTCTTGAAGGTTGTAGCTCTTTTTATTTGTCTCTTGTCTGCTGCATTGCAGACCAGAGCTCAAGGAGGTAAGTAGCAATTAAAAATTCTTAAAAACTTACCTTCTTCTCTTTCTTTCTCTCTATTTTTGTAGCTTATAGTGGAGGCAGCTACTGCAATAGTAAGGATAAGTATTTAAGCGATTATTAATTCTATTTTTCTTACTATAGATGCTACAGATCCTGCATGTTTTGCTAACTGCCCAACTTACACTGAGGTAATTAAAATGCAAGAAGTGGTTATTATAATGCAGCTTATACTTATATTGATGCACAGTTTAATGCAATGCTTTTATACTGCAATGTTCATGTGCTTTAATTTTGAAAATAATTGCTACTTTTGTAAACATGTAATTTGATATGCATGATGCAGATTTTAAGTTTTAAAGTGATAGTTGTTGGATTGTGTATAATTTATCCTCTTATCATTTTCTTAGGAAGCTGGTCCTACCAAAATACTAGAAAAGGGTCTATTTATCAGTGACAATGACGTGAATGAGTTATTCCTGATGCAGGTGAGAGAGATTGAATGAGAGTTGTGGGTGGGTGGTACTCAATTACAAACACACACACACACAGTTCTTGTGATATTCATGATCATCAACAAAGTCATTGCTCGTGATTATTATCATTGACAAATAGACCGGTCTATGAATATCAGTATCAGTTTGGGTGGCACTGTAGGGTTACCTTAGGAACAGCATTTTTGACTCTCACAAAAAAAAGAATAAAGAGATACACCCACCACAGACAAAATTGAATATTAATGAAGGAAATTATTAATATAACATAATCTATTTATGTTCCCTTCTCTCTCTTTCTCTTTTGCTCTTGCAGTCTGCAATAGTTGAAGTCTTTTCTGATACAGCAGATTTTAATGCCATTGATCTCAATGCAACATATCTACCTGAGGGCCTAACTCAACAAACAATGATCACAACAGAGAATAGGTTGGACATTAAAGGTAAGACTTCAATATAACATGATTATATTTTAATGCTAAGATATTATTTATACTTTAAGTTTATTACTGAAATATTTTTATGCAGTTCTAACTATTGAAGGAGAGGCCTCTGTACTGGAGTATCAAGAAATCCTACGCAATGTCACATTCTTCATTAATTCCACGGAGCCTGATAGCACCAATAGGACTATATGCTTCAGTATATTTGATGGGATACATCACAGCAGTGCTGCCTGTGTAGTCCTAAGAATAATACTCTTGAATGATAATCCTCCATCAATTGTGAATGCCACTGGGCTGGGAGAGCCCTATGTTGAAGGATCTGGTGGTGTAGGATTATTGGAGGCTCTCAATATTACTGATGATGATGATCCTACACTATTCCTAATGGAGGGAGCTAGTGTAAGGGCTGTATAGTGATTAATAGCCACACTGCATGCCTGCATGTTCTGCTATGCTATGAAGACAGTGAATTTATAAGATCTTGAAAAATAATTTACATGTAATTATAATTTTTACTTTATTTAGATCAATGTACTGAACTTGTGCAATTCAATTTCAGATGAAATACTAGTTGATACCAGTGGTACTAACATTGTGATAGATCGAGATGGGCCTTGCCTAATCCTATCTGGCAATGACACCATTGCTAATTATACTCAAGTCCTACTGTCAGCAAGGTATGTATTTTGTATCATCTGATTTCATGTCATATTTTATCTTCTAATGTATAGATATAATAATACTGAAGACGAGCCTGATATCACTGATAGGACTATAGAGTTTTTAATTTATGATGGAAGATATAATGCATCTTTTAATGTTTCAATATCATCTGTACCTATAAATGATCATCCAACTGTGGTAAGATAGCTGCTTGATCTTGACCTCCTACTGTATTACAATGCAAATATCTATTTGACAGGTTCAATTCGCAGACAATGTAGCAAATTTAAGTGAGGCTAATTCTTCAAGCATTTTAGGCGCTCTATCTCCAATAACTTTAACTGATTCTGATACTAAGTGAGTTAAATCTCCTTAAATATTGATTTTTTATTTCTCTCTCCAGTGTTCCTGTATATGTGAACAGTGCTAGGATTGAGATACTTGATCCTTCCAGTGGAGAAGAGTTCTTGGAATTTATTGGGAGCTCTAACATCAGTGTACATGTAAGCATATAAAAATCACTAATTCACAGTATAACAATAATGATGATAATGATGATGATCGTCCTCACAATTGTTGTAGGTTAACAATTCATGCATTCTTATTAATGGCACTGAGACTTTGGATAAATATGAATCACTGATTAATAATACTATAGTCTACATTATTAATGATGAACCACCTTGTCCTCTTGATAGGAACATTAAAATTACCATCAATGATGATAGGTACAGGTTAAAACTTTGAAATTATGCCGTGTGACTGTACTTTCCTTTAGATATGCTATTTTAACAGTATCACTGATTCCTATCAATAACAAACGTCCAATACTTAACAGTGTATCTCCAGTTATCTTCACTGAGAATGACATGCAGTTCTATCCATTTCAGTCACTCAATATTACCGATCATGACAACTATTGCCTGCAGTATGGAGGTGTTATAGGAATGGCTGTGGCTACTCTAAGGAATGTTCTTGTCAATGAGTCTTTGATGCTTCATTCTCAAGCAGAATGGCTGCATTATTCTCCAATCGCCTGTAATATCCCCACTCCTCAATTGCCCAACCCTAATGAAGTTGAACTTTTGAATGATAATGCTACACTGTATTACTACTACTGTAGTGCTAATGATACTGAAATTAGAATTATTGGAACGGCAAGTATCAGCCAATATGAGGTAAAATTTTGATAACTTTACTTAATCTACTGTAAATTAATTTTATTTGTTTTATGCACCTGGTATTATCTTTTTATTAATTTTGCAGAATTTATTGAGAATGGTCCACTATTACTACTCATTTGAACCAACAGAAATTGCAAGATCACTTGAAGTAAGTAAAAACCAATTTTTAAATGATATTTATGGTACACTGCTTCTGCAAAAATACTAAGTATTTGTACAGAACTAGCCAATGAGGGCTAGGACTATAGTAGAGATTATAAGACTATTGTTTAGCCAAAAATAGTTCTTGTGATTTAGAAATTAGAAAGTTTGCCAATTGTCATTTTTGAGATTATGAGCACTCAGAAAATTTCCATGAAACTCTTATTATTCACATTATACCTACTGTCACTAATTGTTTTTCTTTTTTTAGCTCCAAGTATCTGATCTATCCTTCAATAACTTATTGAATATTACTGTTGCCATTAACCTCATTAACGATGAGCCTCCATTTGTCTCCACTGACCAGTCCCTATTCACTTTCACAGAAGAACCTAACAGCCTACCAGTGGTACCAGTGTCCATAGTCTCCCCATCGGCAACCATACTGGACAACGACAGGCTTGATGACAACCACAGGGTTGTCTCCCAAGTCTGTGCCTCCATTAATAACGTCTTCTCAGGTGACGAGCTGTTCTTTGATCTCGAGAATGACAACAGTTCGGCAAATTATATACTCAATGAGACGGAGACTGAAGTCTGTGTCAATTTCAGTTCTTGTGCTTTTGCTAATACTTCTTGCTTTACTACACTCTTGATGGGTTTTATGTATGATAATATTGAAGACGAACCAGATCTGACCCCCAGGAATATTACATTAACTGTAAGTCAACTTTTAGTATCAAAGATAATCTAATACTATTGGTCCTGTCATTAAATTATTAGCTGTGCTTTTTTACTAAAATTATTTTTTCCTTAGGCAATTGATGATACAGCAAACCTTGAGAGGTCTATTGTCATCATGGTAGCCATCACCCCCATTAATGATCATCAGCATTATCTCATATTGGATGGAACTAACAATAATAATGATAGTGTTGTTGTTTTTAAGGAAGATGATCAACCAGTTTTATTGACTAGCAGTCCAAGAGTTGTTGATATTGATGTTGGTCAGAAGAACTTTACATCAGCAACCATCACTATATTAGACGGTAATGATATTACTATTATTATTATATTTCATTATTATTATCATATTTTATTATTATTATATTTATACATGTATTTCTCTCTTTGTTTCTCTCTCTTTATTCTCTTTATTTTTTCTCTCTCCTCTCTCTCTCTTTCTCTCCTCCTATAGCTGATTATCAATATGATACTATATCACTAAACACAACAATGGTATCCCAGTATGGCTTGGTTCTCTCCAACACTTCCACTTCAACATACATCCTAATAGAAGGATCAGCCACTCAGTCTGCCTATGCTCATGTTCTCTCTACAGTAACATTCATTAACACTGATGATGAGCCTACCCCACGCGACCGGAGTATCAATAGGATTGTGGATTTTGAAGTTTCCGATGACAGTTTCACTGACACATCAATAGCAAACATAACTTTGATGCCAGTTAATGATATTCCTACTCTCAGCGTACCTGATGTCACCTTTAATGAATCCACTCGTGACCCTGTCTATCTCTTCCCTCCTGATGTAGCTATTGATGACAGTGACGATGAAATTATAGAATTTGCTAGGGTCAGGATAGAATCTCCATACGACAGTATGGATAATTTAACTATACATGGCACAACGGACCTCACCATTACTACTCAGACTATAACAGATCCTGCTCCAACTCCTTCTGTATGTTCACCAGCTGTGAATGAGTACACAATTCAACAGATCAGTATGACGGGACCTTTAAATAAAACAGATTTTAACTATGCATTGAGTAATATTACCTTTTCTAATTATTGTCCTGGACTGCTGACAAGCAGAAGAAGAGTCTCCATAATCCTTTTTGATGAGATGATGGGTTTTAGCCCAATTTCTATGTACATCAATATTGCTACTGTTGATGATCCTCCCTATTGCTACTTCGGATCATGGCCAGTAAGGAAAGAGAGAGAGAGAGAGAGAGAGGGAAAAGAGAGAAATATACCTAACTAGATATATTTACTTATTTAATCAGTATAATATTATTTATGAAAAAGAGGATAAAAGAGAAGAGAGAGGGAATTTATTTGTGTTTTTTTTTAATTTCCAGGGAGTGACTACCAGTTCTGCTGTATATAGTGAGTATGATCCTCCAGTAAGTATTGCTGCTGATTTCACCATCCAGGACTTTGATGGTCCTCATTACCTACACAATATAACACTGGAGGTCACTAATCTAGATAATGGAAACAGTGAAGTACTCAGTTTCAATACTACTGGAACAAATATCAGCTATCGTGAAACAAGGAGCTTGTTTGCAGCCACCTATATTCTAACTGGCTATGACACATTTGATAACTACACTAAGGTCAGTCACTTCTAATATTATAGATATTTAGAATGTTACATTATTATGTTATTATGCTATGTAAAAGTTTGAGCTAAATCTGATTTCAAATTTTTAAGTTGCGGCCATTTTCTGAAAAATTCCCTGTACTTTAACCCATGCTTTTTTCCAAAAAATGGCTCTAAAATGACCCCCCAATTTGTATTACATTTTTTGATACTATTAATGCCCTTATGCTATGTAAAAAGTTTGAGTCAATTCTGACTTCAATTTTTCAAGTTACGGCCATTTTTTAAAATTGACCATTTTTTGAAAAATTCTGTGTACTATAGCCCATGGTTTTTTCCAAAAAATTACTCCAAAATCACCTCCAATTTTTATTACAATTTTTGATACATAATGACATACTTATGCTATGTGGAAAGTTTAAGTTGATTTCAATTAAAATTTTTCAAGTTATGGCCATTTTTTAAAATTGGCCAATTTCTAAAAAATTCCCTGTACTATAGCCCATGCTTTTTTCCAAAAAATGGCTCCGAAATGACCCCCAATTTTTATTACATTTTCTGATACATATTGATGTCCTTATGCTATGTAGAAAGTTTGAGCTAATTCCAACTTCAATTTTTCAAGTTATGGCCATTTTTTAAAATGGGCCAATTTCTAAAAAATTCCCTGTACTATAGCCCATGCTTTTTTCCAAAAAATGGCTCCAAAATGACCCCCAATTTTTATTACATTTTCTGATGCATATCAACGACCTTTGGCTATGTAGAAAGATTGATCTGATATTGTATGACAAATTGCTCATTTAAAATGTATTGCATATATTTCAACGATACGATTTGCTACAAATTATAATGAAAATGCTCTAAATATTTCTTATACATTTAATATTATAAATTGACTTCTTCAGGTCTTGAGAACGCTAACGTACGTCAACAACATCATGAATCCCTATGACCAGCGGAACCGTCTCATTAGGATCATGCATCCTGATCCTACCTTCAATCCTTGTCAAATCAGCATAGACGTCATAAACATTAATGTACCTCCAGTCATAACACTGGATCATCATGTTACCTACATAGAGGATCAGGGACCGTTGCTTGCTAGCAATACAACCATTGATATAACTGATGAGGACAATGGCCGCTTGATTCGAGCTATGATTTACATTTCTAACTCTCCAACTGAGTTTGGTTCTATCACTGATTCCCTTACCATTGGTTCTGGTTTCACCAGTGGGGGTTTAAGCATCACTGGTAATGGTACTAACAGTATAACAGCAGTGGCCGCAGTTTCTCAGTTACATTCAGTTTTTGAGTCTCTTTTAAGTAACATTTTTTTCGAAACGAATGACCAATCAACCAATATCACTCGTAACTTAACAATGACTGTTCAAGAGTTTGCTAATGACCCTAGTCAACCTGCTGTCATTCCAATATACATTGAACAACGAAACGACCGACCTGTATTTATCAGTGACCCATTGATGACAACAGCAACTCTGGACGACTACCTTCCTGATAACAACGGCTTTGCTACTACCTCTCTTTTAAACAGAAGCGTGGTCAGTGATCCTGATTCTATCTACCCACCTAATCCTGACTTCGTTGGCATGGCTATCTTCGATTACAGCATGAGTAATCCCTCTCTTGGTGTCTGGCAGACCTGGTATAATGGCTCATGGGTTAACTTCACTACTGTTAGTGCCTGTAGCCCACTTTTCATCTCTCAAGGACAATGGCTAAGATTCCACCCTTTTCCAAGGCTAGAGAAAGAGAATGGAGATGCAAGCATCACCTATTGGGCTTGGGATGGTACTAGTACTGTCACATGTAACAATAACTCTGTTAGGACTGATGTGGAATCTCCTGTCAGTAACACTTCAAAGTCCTTCTCTTACTCAGTAACATATCTCAATCGTCCTCCTTCTATAGTAGTAGATTCCTTTCCTCTTCCTTCTATTACTGAGGACAGCCCCACCAATGGCTCTATAGTTTATAACATTGTTAATGCCATTGCTACTGATCCTGATGACTCACCTCTTTTGGGTCTTGCATTTATAAATGCTTCTAATGCCAATGGGCGTTGGCAGTACTATGACAACATCACTCATTTTAGTTGGGTTGATTTCCCATCCAATCTCTCCTCGGCCTATGCCCTTCACTTATCAATGGAGTACATGTTTAGGTTTCTGCCTAATCAAGATTTCTATGGTCAAACTAGTGTTACAGTACATGCATGGGATCTTTCTAATTCAAAGTTATATTCATCTTTCTTTTCGCCAGTTGAAGTAACTCCTTCTGGAGCATATTCTCCATCAACTCTAGAGATGACACTTGATGTTACTCCCGGTAATGATCCACCTGTTATTTCTGTGCCTAATAGTCAAATCACATATGTAGAAAATGGTCCATCCATTGTCATATTCGCTTCACTTAATATAACTGATGTTGACAATGCTAATTTGACATCAGGAGTCATCACTCTATCTTGCCCTGATTGTCTCCATGGCTTTTACAGGCCCAGTCTTTTCCTTCAACCAACTTCTCCTGATGTATTAGAATATGTAACTAATAATGATTTTAATGTAACACAAGTGGAAAACAACACCATTCTACAATATAGTGTGCTACCTTTAGCAAGTTATGCAGCTAGCATTGATGATTTTAAGTCGATTCTTAGCTCATTCAAATTCAAAAATATCATGGAAGAGCCATCGATTTTTGACCGCATTGTATCACTGCATGTATCAGATGGACACAGTTTGAGTAATACTCTTAATGTGACTATTACCATGCAACAAATCAATAATAATCCACCAAGTATTGAGCTACCTTTCACTAGTATCAATTATATTGAGGGTAGTGGTGAACTGAAGCTCGATTTTAACTCTTCAGATATCATAACAGATCCTGATGAATCACTACCATTTTATACTTTACAAGTTACTTTGTTGAGTGCCAGTGATGAAGTTGATGAGTCCATTTCAAGCTCTTACAATGCTTTGAGCATTAATGTTACGTCTTACAATGATTCTCATTTATTATTCACTGGCCCTGCGAGTTTAGCAGTTTTCAATGATATCACCAACAGTATCAGTTATACTAATAATGAAGATGAGCCTGGAATGGTCTCAGTTCAAGTCCAGTATTCGGTATATGATGGTGTGTATACTAGCACTCCAGCTATTCTCACTATTAATATTATGCCAATCAATGACCATAAGCCTATTCTTGATATTGGCTCTTCTCCTGTAATACTCTACCAGGAGGAGAATCCTATCTCTAGTCCTGTCTTAATATTCCCTGATATCACTGTCAGTGATGCTGATGTACCAGTCACACCAGTACTAGGAGCTAATGTGACAATAGAGAATCCATTGGATGGAAGCTATGAGGCCTTAATGCTTAATAGTGTAGTCCCTAATGTAGAAGCACAGTACAGCAATGCTACTCTACACATCAGGAGTAATGGAGGTGCTCCTATTACAACTAGTGATGTACAGGATGCATTGAGGATACTTGCTTATCAGAACAGAGCAGAAGAGCCTAATTCTACTCCACGTAATATCACAGTAATTGTGGAAGATGCATTGTATGGAGGTACACTCAATTACTCTGATCCAGTCTCTGCTAGGATTGACTTTATCCTAGCTAATGACCCTCCTACCGTTCTATTGGGTCAAAGCACTGTTTTGTACACAGAGAGCCAAGACCCTCTGCTTTTATCACCTTCTGCTGTTATTTCTGATGTCGATAACACCAATTTAGCTGGGCTGCTCATTAGTTTGTCTGCTAATTTAACTGATTTTTCTTTTGAAAGGTTGAGTGTTAACAAGTCTTTACTGCCATCATCAATAGAACTCAATGAGACCAACACAGAGCTGGTATTAACGGGAGTAGAATCCCTGAGTATCTATGAAGAGGTACTTCGTACACTCACTTATGATAATGAAGACTTGAATCCAGTGACTGAGATAAGATCAGTAAATGTTATTCCAATTGGAGTGGGAACTGGGCCTGGTCACTCTGACCTAGTGAGGATAGAGTTTGATGCTGTCAATAATCCTCCATCATTTGATTTGAATGGTAACAATACAGGAGGTATTAATTATTACACTGATTTTACTGAAGAGGCTCAAGATCCTATTCCTATTGTGTCAGGAGATGCTCTCTTGACTGATGTTGATAACAGTAGCTTGCACTTGGTCTCTCTAGCACTTTCTCCTTTCTTGGATGATGAAGAGATACAAGCTCCTACTTTCAATTCCAGCCTACTACAGCTCCATCGTGCTAGCCAAGTCAATTTAACTTTTACAGGTGTAGGAGGCTCTGCACCTATTGCCAGCTTTTTAGAGGCACTGAAGGCTCTAAGATACATCAATAGAGCTGATGAGCCAGATACAACTACAAGACGAATAACATTCATGGCAAGTGATGGAGCAACAATGAGCCAGCCTGCCTTCACTTTTATTACTATTAACTCTATTAATGATGTGCCTCAACTGAACTTAACTTCTACATCGAGAAATTACACAATCTCATGGACAGAGAATGATATGCCTATCACTATGACATCAAGCCCTTCAGTATATGATGCTGATAGCACTGGTTTCACTGCAGTTAGAGTTGGAGATGTGAATGAAGTTAGTGGAGACTTGATTACGCTAAATGGCTCTCAGTTAATGATGGATCCTAATCATAATAATATTTATATTGCTACCTTTCCCACTCCACTAACTGCCAGTGCTCTACAAAACCTTCTCTCTACTCTATCATTCTCTAACATTGATGAAGAACCTCCTGTTACTGATAGGGTATACTGTGTCTCAATATCTGATGGATTCTCTTGGAGTTATCCTGCTTGTGTGGAGATTAAAGTTATACCTGTCAATGACAATGCTCCTGTCATTTCACCTAGCGAAGCTACTGTAACTGTACAAGAAAACATGACTAATACACCTTATATACTTCCAACTAATTTCACTGCAACCGACTTGGATAACGTTGATTCTCATTCTAATCTCACTTGGGCTATTGTTTCTGGTGATGACTGCCATCAGAGTGCATCAGCCATGAACATGTTCTCATTCTCTGGTGATAACTCTACCAGTAGTGATTACATTGTAGAGCCATTGCCTTGTCGATTCTCTATTGATAGCAATGGACGTGTTACAGTAGTATCAGTACTGGATAGGGAGACTAGGGACTTGTATGTACTCAATATTTCTGTTACTGATGGATTGTTCACTGATTATGCATCACTGACTGTTATAGTGAGTGATATTGATGATAATCCGACTTGCTTTAGTCCTCAGGTATACAATGCAACTGTTTCACTAGGAGACAAGAAAGGGACACAGCTAGCTATACTTACTCTTACAGACTTAGATTCCAGTATACCTTCTCCTCCTTCTCTTCATTTTGGACCAATTATGCTTACTCCTTCTTCTGCTGGTTTAACATCAGTAGCTTTTAGATTGGATGAAAATAATGGAACCCTTACTCTTAATATTGATGAAGGAAACTCAGGCTTTGCACCAATGCAATCTCTTTATGAATTAGAAGCTGATTTTGAGTTTGGTTCGGGTTCTGCCAAACAATTTGGATGTGGAGCTGTAGTATACATTGAAGTTCCATTCAATGCACATGCACCAGTTTTTACATCAACAGACTACTCTTTCACAATTAATGAAAACACAGCAATAGATACACCAGTAGGCCTTATAATTAATGCTACTGATGATGATCAAGGATCTTATGGAATGATTACATACTCAATGGTAACACAAGGTTCTCTGTTTAAAATTGACTCTACTACTGGCAGTATCAGTGTTAGTGCTGCTATAGATTTTGAAATGGTTGGTCCTACATACATGTTTACAGTGAGTGCTAGTGATGGTCTTAAAAATACACATGTAATTACAACCAATGTAACAGCCAATATTATGGATGTTAATGAGTTTCCCCCAGTCTTCAATCGTCTTGACTATAGTGATTCAGCTGTTTGTGAGAATGTACCACTAGGAACTGAAGTACTAACAGTACAAGCTACTGATGGAGATGCTGGCAGTTTTGGTCAAATATTTTATAGCATAGACTCTAATTCTATATCATGTTGCTTTGATGTCAACTCAACTACTGGAGTCATTTATACCAACAGTAGCATTGACTTTGATACTGGTGATTACAGACGCAGTTTTTATGTTATTGCTACTGATTTGGGAGGGAGAGTGAGCTCTATTGGCACTTTTGTTACTATCACTATATTAAATGATAATGATCATATTCCAATGTTTCCAAATCAATCACTTGCTGTTGCTATACCAGAGAACTTCCCTGTACAGTCTCCATTACCATCACAGCTAATGGCTACCGATGGAGACATATACTGTAGGATAGATCAATGCAATGGTGCTGTTATCATTGATAATAGCTCATGTAGGAATCAACCAACTTTATTAACATATGCCATTGTATCAGGCAATGGAGATGGGCTTTTCTCTATTGATTCCACTACTGGTGTTGTATCAGTTGCTATGGAAATTGATCACGAATCACTTAACATAACGATATATGATCTCATCGTATCAGTCACTGATGGCCAATACACGTCCTATGCAAACCTATCAGTCAGCATTATCAATGTTAGTGAGTTTGCTCCCATGTTTGAAAAGGATAACTACACAGCCTCCATTAATGAGAGAGTACCCATTGGGACATTAGTAGAAACTGTGCTAGCTTTTGATGATGATAACAGCCCATTCACATATTCCCTGGTTGGTGATGATGTTGATTACTTTACTATTGGTCCTAATAGTGGTGAGGTTAGGACAGCAAGGGAGATTGATTATGAAATGAAGCCTGTTTTCTCTTTGCTTGTTGTTGCCTCTGAAGTGGCCATGCCTAACATGAGTGGTTATGCTAATTTGTTGATTCATGTTAATGATATCAACGATAATCGTCCCTTGTTTGATCAAGATGAGTATCAGTTTGAGCTACTTGAGAACTTACCACCAGGCACTAGTGTGGGTACTGTATCAGCAAGTGATGCTGATTCTGGTATCAATGCTGATATTAGTTACTCCATACTTTCAGTTCATCCTCCTTCTCATTATCCTTCTTTTACCATCAACTCTACATCAGGAGAGATTACATCTACTCAAAGTTTTGATAGAGAAGAGACAGATGAGTATACTTTTATGGTGGCTGCTACTGACACTGGTCATCGCAACAGCAGTGTCACAGTGACTGTGAGAGTCAATGATGTGAATGATAATCCTTCCATTATGAATGACACTATATTGGATACACCTGAAAATACACCTTTAAATACAGTCATATTGACACTGGTATCCACTGATGCTGATACTCCCCCTAATTCTCATGTGACCTACCAACTTGTAAATGATTTCAATGGAAATTTTAATATTACCGGAGATAAGCTCATTGTGGCTAGTAGTCTAGACTATGAAGGGATACAGTCGTACAACTTAGTTGTAATGCTAACTAATGGAAATCTAACTTCTTATGCTAATGTTACAGTAAATGTCCTTGATGTCAATGATAATGCTCCTATCTTTACCAGCCCATCTGAAGTCTCTATACCCGAGGATGCTCCCATTGGTAGCCTAGTGTTACCACTCTCAGCTACTGATGCTGATGACAATGGTGATGAACCAGTCAGTTTTATGTTAGCTGATAATTACACTGGCCCTTTCTCCTTAGACTCTAATTTGGTAATAGTTTCTGCTGGGTTAGATCGTGAATCTCAAATGATACACTACCTACCAATCATTGCCTTTAATCCTAATTCCACTGGCCCTATCACAACCCAAAACCTCACCATTACTCTAATTGATGTTAACGACAACATTCCTCAATTCTCTGCTGATCCAATCCTATTCTCAGTTCTTGAGAATCACACCCTTGGACAGTCAGTGGGTGTACTAACAGCTACTGATATTGATCAACTTTCAAATGCAAAACTAACATACACACTGTCTCAGCCTGATCCATCTCTTCCTTTTGCTATCAATCCTCTAACTGGAGAGATAAACCTAACTTCTTCTTTAGATTATGAATTAGTGACCTCGTACAGTTTTAATGCAATAGTAACTGATGGTGGAGAGCCAGCTTTATTTTCTACAGCACTAGTTATCGTTAATGTATCAGATATCAATGACAACAGCCCAATATTTACCAGTGATGTGTACAATGTATCTGTACTTGAGTCTATCAAAACAAGCAGTGTAATTATTCAATTATCAGCCTCTGATGTTGATTCCGGCAGTAATGCTGATATTACATTCTCTCTTATTGATTCCTCTCTACCATTCTACATCAATGGGTCTTATGTACTCCTTGGGGCTTCATCCTTGGACAGGGAGTCTGTATCAGAATATACTTTTAATGTGGTAGCAACTGATGGTGGTCATCCTTCACGCAACTCAACAGCTCAAGTTATTGTTACAGTTCAAGATGTCAATGATAACTCTCCTGTCATTGATCTTGTATATCTCAATGATTCTATACCAGAGAACACTCAAATAGGAACCGTAGTAGCTATATTCAATGTCACTGATGCTGATATTGGTCCAAATGCTCTTACAACTCTCACATTATCAGGAGAATTCAGTCATTTTGAAGTCGATCAAGACGGAGTTGTGAGACTACGTACATCACTAGACTTTGATACTGGTAACACGACTTTTAATATTGTGTTAGTAGCACGTAACAATAATTCAACACCACGTTTGACATCAACGTACCCATTTAGTATCAGCCTTAGCAATATTAACGATAATGCTCCAATGATTGAATTTGGTAAAACAGTTGTTTCATTTGATGAGGGTATCAATGAAGTACCGTTAAATGTTGGTGTTAATATTAGTGATGCTGATGATCATAACGAGATGGGTTTCACTCGGATATATGATGCAAAAATTGAGTTTATTAATCCAAACCCACTCGAAATAAGCTCGCCATTCTCACCCACAGCAGCTGAAGACCCATCTGACTGTCCACTCGAGGACAAGACAAGGAAGCTGCAGTCATGTGGCTTTACTGCTACTTTTGAACTACAGACTAATCTTGCAACTGGTAGCCTCAGACTATATCCTGGAACGATACAAACCAATAATGGAGCTACACTAGTATTGGATGGCAGTAACCACTATGCATACATGCCTGTTACAAATTCCTTTACTAGTTTCTCTATGCTCTCGTGGGTATGGTATACACAAACCTCCTCTCCTTCTACAATATTCTCTTATGTTAATAGTGATTATACCGTATTCAGTGCAGTGTGTTATGATGCAGATCTTGTATTTACATACTACAATGCTACACAGCACAATGTTACATTCAGAGGCTCTTGTTCAGCTCTCACAGATCAATGGCATCACTTGGCTCTCACTATAAACCAATTACAAGGTCAACCTGTATTAAGTGTCTTCATAGATGGAACTCTTAATGATAGAACTGTCATAAATGCACCACAAGATGATGATAGGACTAAAAGATTATTTATTGGAGTTAGTCCAATTGGCAGTGGTTGGTTCCAAGTTGCAGACTACTTTACTGGTAGACTCCACAGACTTGCCTTCAGTTCATCAGTAATAACAGAGCAGCACATTAACTGTGTGATAGGCTGTGGTGTCTATCTATACTCGTCCTCTCTCAATCCTCCTGTACAATATCATTATGACTACTCTAGCAGGCAGTTATATGCTTCAGGAGTCAGAGTGGTTCAAGTGTATGAGCAATTCCTTGATACAATAACATTTGTTACAGCATTCAGTGAGCCAATGACTTTAGAATATAATTTAGACTACACTGTGACTGATGGTGTCTTTAACTCTATACCAATGCAACTCAATATAACTCTTAATCCAACTAATGATGGACCACCAGTCTTAGCTCTTAATGGTGACCTTGGAACTAACTTTAATGCAGAGTTTGTTGAAGAGGGAGGACCAGTGGCTGTCGTTAATTCTTCATTGACTTTGACTGATGTTGATTCAGTCTCATCCCCTTATGTTGTAAATGCCACTATATTGTATTCAGAGCAGGCAGTGGGTGAAGAGGTGCTAGCAGTTAGTAATATTCCCCAGGGCATGTCTGCAGTATATTCAGGATACTCACTGATATTGAGTGGATCTTTAACCATCGATCAATTCCAGTTGTCACTAAGGACTCTTACTTATGATAATTATGCAGATGAGCCTCAAGGAGACTCACGTATCATTAGTATAGTTGTTAACGATAGTCCTTGGAAGAGTAACACTGCTAATGCTTCTCTATCGATCCGCTATGTTAATGACCCACCAGTACTCTCAGTCAAGTCTTCTACTGCAGAATATGCTGAAGGTGATGGTCTTGTACCATTATTGATTGATGCTAATGTCACTGATAATGATAACACCACTCTTGTATCAGCCTTAGTCACCTTTTTCCCTCCTGATGGATCCCTAGAGGCTCTCGTTGTTGATACCTCAGACACTGACATTACTAGTGTCTATGCTAATGGTACACTCGTGTTGAGTGGAGAGGATATTTTAGATTCTTATGCTGCAGTGCTGTCAAGCCTAAGCTACATAAACAATAAAACTGACAACATTACTGGTGGAACGAGAGTGTTTTCCTTCTATTTATTTGATAGTAGCAGTACAGGACATTTTGTGCAGTCCACTAGCTTGTTTATTCAAGGAGTGAATGACCCACCTATAGTTGATCTTAATGGAGATGATATGGCAGGCAATAGTTTCACTGATACATTTACTGAAGATACCGATATGACTATACCAGCAGCCTCACCTACCTTGTCACTGATTGATGTGGACAGCTCTACTCTAGAGTATGTTAGAATTGAGTTTTTAAGGAGACCTGATGGAGAGCAAGAGAGCATTTTACTTGATACCCAAGGAGGAGCATTCTCTTTTACTTCCAATGGTAACGTGTACACTTTAAGACCTGGTTCACTCACAATGCCTTCAGTTGATCAGTTTCAACAAGTACTGCGAACTTTACGGTATCATAATACAGCCGAAGAACCCACTCAAGGCCTTCACTCGCTATCACTCATTGTCAATGATGGGATAGACTCTAGTGTACCAGTTTACATCAACATCACTGTAAAATCAGTCAACGATCCGCCATATGTTGATTTGGATACTAGTCAAAATGGGACCGGGTTTAGTGGAGTATTTATTGAAGAGAGCTCTACACCAACTGAACTGACATCAAGTAATGTATTAGTAACTGATAATGATGCTAATGCTACTATAGTGTCACTAACTGTTAGCATCAATGAACTTCTTGATGGTTTTAGTGAGTCCATTGTATCACTAGATCCTAACATAACCCTACCTGCTCCTACCCTCCAACCAAACAGTGTACTGTCATATACTATTACTCCTATTGATGGAGCTGTAGAGTATATCAGCTATTTGTTATCAGTATTGGCTTATGATAATAGTAGGCTTGAGCCAACCCGAGGGCAGCGTCAAATCATAATCTCACTATATGATGGTTTCAATAGGAGCAATGATGCAGTGTCACTCATCACTGTGGAAACTCTGAATGAGCATGTACCTAACTTCACTCAGTCAATATACAGTGCCAGTATTTATGAGAATCAACCTAATGGTACTCTATTGGCTAGAGTAATGGCTAGTGATGGTGACAGTGGAACGGATGGTCGTATAACATACTCCATTGTCTCTGTATCTCCCAGTGTAGGAATGAACAGGTTTACCATTGGGAGTGATAATGGTCGAATAACAGCAGTGTCACTAGACAGGGAGGACATTGACATGTACAACATAACAGTGGCTGCTACTGATTCTGGCCCAGATCCTAACACAGCTACAGCATTAGTTACAGTTGAAGTATTAAATGAAAATGATAACTCACCATATTTCCCTCAGTCAGTATATCACCTCTCAATACCCGAGGACACTCCTACTTACACTGAAATTGACGTTGTTTCTGCTATCGATCCAGACATTCCTGATCAGTTATTCTATCAGCTTATTTCAGATACATTCCAAATATTAAATAATGGTACTCTTAGATTGATAAAGTCAGTAGATGCCGATGGAGCTATGACTGTGTACAATATCACAATTACTGCCATTGATTTATTTGGCCACACAGGTGACACAATCTACACTATCACAGTCACTGATGTTAATGATAACACTCCATCCTTCAGTCAGGATTCTTATCAAGGCTCTGTTCCAGAGAACCTGTTGGATGAATACGTAGCTACAGTCTCTGCCACTGATCTTGACTCTACAAGTAACGGAGAGATAAGTTACTCTTTTGAAAACCCTGATACCCTTCAATACTTTACTATTGATAATACTACTGGTGTCATAAGAACTGCTAGTGAGCTAAACCGTGAAGAGCAGCAGTCCTATACTCTAACAGTGTTAGCAACTGATGCTGGCGATATTCCACTAACTGGTAGTGCAACTGTAGATGTATCTGTATTGGACATTAACGACAATACTCCTTCTTTCTCTGCCACTGAATACAGTGCATCTGTGCTTGAGAATATACCCAATGTGTATATAGTTACTGTCAATGCTACTGATCCTGATAATGGCTCCAATGGCTCCATCACTTACAGTCTATCAAACACTGTGACCCTATTTAGAATTGATGGAGTCACTGGAGATATATATGCCATTGGGTCTTTGGATAGGGAGACCACTTCATCTCAAGTTTTTGTAGTCTACGCAGCGGATGGTGGTAATCCGAGCCGGACCTCATCAGCAGCTGTGAATGTGAGTGTGATTGATGTCAACGATAATTCTCCAATGTTTATTGGTGATCCGTATTCCGGAAGCATACCTGAAAATGAAGCTGGTTACAATATACTGACAGTAGAAGCCACTGATGCTGACTATGGATCTAATTCTCAAATAACATACATTCTTCAAACTCACACAGACCTCTTCTCTATTGACTCGTCAACCGGTCAACTGAGATCTTTAGTTGGTCTTGATTTTGAGTCTCGCTGCTTCTACCAGTTACAAGTTGTTGCAGTAGACGGTGGGTCTCCTCCAAGGAACTCAACCACACTAATAGACATTAATGTAATACCACATAACGATCATCCTCCTACTTTCTCCTCTCCTTCCTACAGTGTTCAGATTTTTGAGGAGTTACCCAATGGGACTTTCGTTGCTAGTGTTTTTGCTGTCGATAATGATACAACATTGTGTGAGCTTGGCCTCTCACTTGGTTCTGGGTCTGGCTCAGGACTAATAATGCCCGGCAGTCTAGCTCCTATGACGTCAAGTATTACCTACTCACTTCTCAATGCTCTCACTGACTTCCAGATTGATCCTGATACTGGGAATATCACAACAAGAACTGAGATTGATCGGGAAATGAATTCGTCTTACCTACTCACTGTCACTGCCACTGAGGCAGCCTCCAATCTCACCAGCACTGCTACTGTCTATGTATCTATCATTGATATTAATGACAATCCTCCTATATTCTTACAAAGATCATACAGTCGAGAAATACCAGAGAGCACGCCAGTTGGTACTCAAATATTGCAAGTAATGGCAACAGATGCTGACTTCATTGATCAAGGAAACCTAAGATATCAGATATTGAACTTTGTGCCTTTGTTTAACATAAGCTCTAGGACTGGTGCCATTTATCTTGCAGAAGCTGTTGATTTTGAGACCATTGAATCAACTACGCGGACATTTTCTGTTGAAGTCTTTGATTCAGGGAATGTTCACTTTGATTTGATACCAGTCACGATCAGTATCATTGATACTAATGATCTGCCCCCATACATAGCCACTGTCTCTTCTTCTCTCACTTTTATTGAGGGCAGCATCAGTCTCGGCCCTTTCCCTGATATGAATATTACCGACCCTGATGTATTGCAGAATCTATACAGTGCCAATGTCACATTAGCTACCTCTACCAATAACACAGCTACTAATTGCCTCTGTACTAATATATCTGTATCTGATTCATGTACACTAGGCTGTGTAGAGTTCTTACAATTAGATCCTAAAGAGTTTCCTGGTACTATTACGCAATCTTCAGATGGCCACAGTCTCTTACTGACAGGAAACTATTCAATAGAGGCCTACAGGGCAGCCATTGTATCTATTTTGTATGTGAATCTTATCACTCATCCTCATCCAACTCCTAGAGAGGTATCATTGATTGTTAATGATGGCGTATTGGATAGTAACATACTTATCAACAGCATCGACATTGTTCCACTCAACCAGTTCTCGCCTGTCATTGATCTCAATGGCCCTGACGTTGATGGTATAAATTATAACATTACTTTCAACGAACAAGGAACAGCTGTCAATATTGCAAGTTCCCAGGCGACCATCACCGATAATGACACAATGTCTGCCCTAACAAGACTCACGGTATCACTGCTCAATCCTCAAGATGGTAATGACGAGTCTATAAGGCTCAAAACTGGTACTATACTACCTAGTGGTATCACTATGCATGAGTCTTCTACAGCCCATAGTATCATACTACAAGGAACAGGATCTCTTTCTGATTACACTGAACTAATAAGGCAGTTGGAGTATATCAATACTGCACCGGAACCCCAGGACACCCAACGTATCATAAACTTTCAAGCAACCGAGCACCACTTGTCAAGTGCTGTGGCAGTGACACTGGTTACAATAGTAACAAGGGATGACAACATGCCAAGTATTGTTGCTAGTCCTCCAATGATCAACTATGCTACTTTGTATTACGAGACTTCAGGAGCAGTGGGTGTTGTAACATCTGATGCTTACATTTCAGATAATGACGTACCTGCTTACATAACAGAACTGCAAATTTTTGTATTTGTTTCTCCGTCTGTTTATGACAGGATTACATTAAATGGTAATATTTCTAGTGACATTTCTGTTAGCCATCTCTCAAACTATCACCTCGTGCTATCTGGCACTTCAACAGTAGCAGAATACACTAAGGCACTAAAACAAGTGACATATTTGTATGATAGGGAAGAGTTTGAATCATTTCCAATAACTAAATATATATATCTTCAAGTTAGCGACACAATGCATTCTGTATTTGCAGTGACACGTTTCACATTCGTCCCTCAAAACGACCAACAGCCTCAATTCAACTCTTCACTCTACACTGCTTCATTGTCTGAGTCTACTCCTGTTGGATCCTTCATCTTACAGTTATCTTCCACTGATTCAGATGTCTTTAATACCACAGATACAGTGTACAGTATAACAGCTGGTAATAATGACGGTCTTTTCTCTCTCTCCAATACAAGTGGCGTACTCAGTCTTGCTAGTCCTCTTGATCATGAACTCATTATGATGCATACGCTAGTAGTTGAAGCTACTGATCTCTTACTCGAGGCTGGAGGGGCAGCACCAGGCACTGCTATGATAGTAATAACTGTTAATGATACCAATGACAATATACCAATGTC